CACAGAGGTGTATAGGACGATCGCCACCAGTTCTGACCAGGACCAGCTACAACAGGATCTCAGTCCGTTACCTCAGTGGGAAATGAGATAGGACATGGAATTTCATCCTGCCAAGTGCCAGACACTGTCAGTCTCTAGAGGTGATACTCCTATACACCAAAATTACAAACTGCATGACCATAGACTTGAGCCAGTTTCCTCAGTAAACAACCTCAACGTTATCATTCAAAGAGAGGTCCGCTTGGACGAGCATAATTATTAACAATGTGTGCAACCAGGCAAACAAGACACTAAGGTTCTTACGGCGAAATCTAAAGATCAGCAACTCTAGTGTGAAAGAAAGAGCCTATAAAGCCTACTTTTAGATTACGCATCTTCCGTCTGGGACCCATTCACCTAGAGGACCAGCGACAGTTTGGAGACGATCCAGCGACGGGCAGCACGCTTTTCCCTGAACCGCTGTAGAAACACCTCTAGTGTTGGCAGCATGCTGGATACAATGGGCTGGTTACCATTGGAGGAATGACGACGATTATCCAGGCTCTCTATGCCATGGTGTTCAAGGTAAATAATGGGCTGATCCACTGCTCCCGCATTAAACACAAACTCGTCCCTCTGCCTCCCCTCCCCACCTCCCTAAAACCAGGCGACAACACTTGACACATCGCATCTATTGCCTCAGGCCCTCCAACCCCCAATTCATGATACCCTCACTGAGTAGTTCTTGCAACATTTATCGTGGGCCCTTTATGTAGAAGAAGAACAACAACGCATCATTAAATATACCTCCCCCCTCCCACACACACACACCTTTTTTGAAAAAAAAAAGGAAAAAAATATTTTTGGAGGTTGGGGTGGAGGTGAACTTAAAATTTAAAATAATGTTTTGTCATCGGCAACGAGTCTATGTGCCAAGTTTCATCTCGATAGGTTGACGAGAAGTGGGTCAATTAGCCTTCAGACGACTTTGCCTCAAACATACGAAAATATAACATAAAATATAAACATGCGAAGTTAAAATACAGCATTAAAAAACAGAAGTTTCATCATTTACACCACAGTCACTTGGCCCTGAAGTTAGGATAATGGTAGAGCTAACTGGTGGGTTAAGAAAAATATGTTGAAAGAACATTGCTTATTACTCAAGATAGAAAGAATTATATCCTCAACTTTCTGTTAACCTTTACATTCGTTTTATTTTTATCCAAATGGGGAACCAATTTTCTGGGACCAATTTTCAGACCAAAAATGTCGATGATTTTAGGCTTATAGTGTGTAACATAATACGGATTATTGACTAAAAGCGGTATTGGAATCCAATACAAAATACTTAAAGGTTATGGGACTTGATGGAGAACTCTCAAGTAGGCCTTCTTGAGGGTAAACATTGCCAGGCTTGCTTTCCTATATTAGCTGTAAGAATCTTAATGACCTTACAAAAATTAAATAAAAGAATATAACAAGTTTTAAACGCAAAAAAGTAGTTAATTCTGAGTCAAATGCAAGCACCAACAATACATTGATTTTTATTTTATTTATTATGGGGAGGGCGCGGTTTCTGATTAAGAGAGTGAATGCTTGGACTTTAAAAGTTGGGATCTTGGTGGCTCTCTAACCAGTCAAATGCATGGTGTGAACTCGTTTAAATTATTAAAGATATCACATCCCTTAAATTAAATATAGCTTAAATGGGTTTATTTTTTACATTTAAACAATGGTTGATAAAGTTTTATCGTCTAAAATTATGAATTTCATACTTGTATGAGTATAGACCTATCATAGTATAAGCCTACGACCTTTTAAAATCTTTGTGTCCTTAACTGGCAAGCTTAATATTATTTATTTTCATAAAACAGGGAAATCAAATGTAGGCTTTTCATAATTCAATATATTACACTTCAACTTCAACAGGTAAAAAAAAATGACAATTACTTTTTTTATTTAAAAAAAACATAAAAGATCAGAATTTCTTTCGATGAACTCTATCCGGCTTCTGGTGTCATTGGTTAATACTAAGTTGTTGTCTTCGGTAAAGTCGATGAACTCTATCCAGCTTCTGGTGTCATTGGTTAATACTAAGTTGTTGTCTTCGGTAAAGAATATCAGATAATCCTTCCTCTCATTCGATGAAATGTAGGCTAATGTTTGTTCCAAGTTGTTGGCCTACATTCTTTTCGTTTAGACTGCATGGAGGCAGGCAGTTCGCCAGTCATTGGACATATTTAAATCCCAGATCAAGCGCACAAATCCTAATGGACAAAACGTTAACTCTATGAAGTTGTTATCACATCTTTGGCGATATAAGTATGATAAGACATGCAATAAATCCCCTAAGAGCAGAACCGCCGTAAGACTTTGGGGGTTTTCGGTTTCGTGTCCCTGAATTCATAGCCACATGACAACTATGTGCCCCTTCATTGTCTTTGTTATGTTTTCAATGTTTTTATTTCAAACAAGTAAATATACAAACATATACAGATGTATATATGTGTGTATGTATATATANTATATATACATACATATAAATGCAAGTTCTCAATCAGGTGTTGACTTTCTGCTTGCGTCCGGAACACACAATCCACCAACACACAATCCACTAACACACACTCTGCTGCGGTGTCTCTGCGCATACGCGCTGTTTGCCCTAGTTGGCTATCGGGACGGTCCCGTCCGTTAGTCCAATATAACAGGGGTCTCCAAACTACGGCCCGCATGCGGCCCGCGAGGCCCTCTGATGAGGCCCGCAGAGACCATTTTGTCTACGGAAAAAATTACGGAAATGTACGCTTATCATGCCAAGATCAGACGCCGCTTACATGGACGTTATGTTTTTACCGAATTAAAATAGAGGCGCACAGTAATGCGTTATGTTTTTTAACCAATCATGACTTGGCAAAACCCTATTCGCTGCTTAGTTTTTCTACGTTCGTTCACATTCAATGAGATGATATAACACCATCTAATGGCGGAACTTTTCCCTCCGTGTTGCAGACATGGGTGAAAACATTGTGACTCAAATAGCGAAAAATGCAACCAAGTTTCGCCAATTTTTAATTGACATGGATAAATCGCTGGACAGCTGTTCCACCTCTCAACTGCTTGTGTTCGTTAGAGGTGTAGATGAAGACATAAACATAACATAAGAGCTGGCTTCCCTATGCCTATATAGCATGTACGACACTGTTACCGGAGAGGATATATTCAATGAGTTGAAAAAACATTTGCTGATTATAACTTTGACTGGACTAACCTCTGTTGCCTGACTGTTGAAGGAGGAAATAACATGAGTGGCATAAAGAAAGGCTTGGTGGGACAATTGAAGCAGATTTTTAATGAGAAAAACATTCTGCAATCAATACTCCTGCACTGTATTATTGAGCAGAAAGCTTTGCGTAATAAACATGTGGACATCAGCAGCGTACTGTGATAAATTGGGTTACTTTAATAAGTACACATTGGCTCAGCCATAGACAGTTCAGAGACCTGTTGAAAGATACAGACACAGAATCGCAAGATTCACCATATTACAAAGCAGTAAGATAGCTAAGTTGTGAGAAAGTTCCGAGCAGAGTATTTAAGGTAAGAGAGGAAATAAGTGACTTCCTGGAAAGTAAATGCAAGCCACAGCCATTAGTGTCTGATGAAATTGGTCTTTGCTGCAGACATAACAAGTCATTTAAATTTTCTTAACCTAAAACTACAAGGAGAGGAAACTCTAGTTTCTGATCTATACGCCCACCTAAAGGCCCTCAGATCGAAACTCGGCTTCTTTTTATTTTTTGGAACAAGTACGGGCCAACAACTTGAAGTACTTTCAGCAGTGGAGGGTCTTCATGGCTGAAGCAACAGCGGAGTTCCCGACGCCATTTGCATGTGAGATCATCAAAGACCTCCAGCTGCAGTGTCAGAAGCGGTTTTCTGACTTGGATTTAAAGGCAGAAGAACTGAGACTTTTTCAAAACCCGTTTGAAGCAGATGTGGCCAGTCGCCCAGATGAACTGCACCTGGAGGTCATTGAGTTGCAAGCAATTGACCTCCTTAAAGACATGTTAAAAGAAGACTGGTGGGTTTTTAAGCAGTTTTTGCCCAAGGAAAATTTTCCTAATTTCAAAACTTTTGCATCAATGTACCCTTCAATCTTAGGAACAACATGCCGGTGTGAACAAACATTTTCAAGAACGAAATGAAGAACAATTTGATAAAAAATGTCCGATGATAATCTCAGGTCACTGTTGATGTTAGGGACATCAAATCTAAATCCAGAAATGTCTGCTAATCACTGCTGTTTTTGCATCCAGGAAACACTTTCACCATTCACACTAACACAGGTGTTCATGTGTTATGCATTAATTATATAGGCTAACTGAATGAAATGATAATACATAAATAATTTAAAACAGCATCCATGTTTTGATTCTTTTTTTATTTGGACCTCGAGTGTAGTCGGCCCCCGAACTGCTATTTATTGATATTTAATGCGGCCCTCGGGCTGAAAAGTTTGGAGACCCCTGCACTATAATAGCCTTCAATATCAGAGGCCCCCTGCATGCGCACAGGTTGTAGGACCAACGCAACGGCTCTACCCTTCTGTAATGTTGAAAGTACGTAGACAAAGTTCATTATAAAATTAAATCACAAAGCATCAATATTTTTATTTTTGTCATCAATGGAATCTGGTAAACCCCCCCCCCCCCCCCCAATCCCCCCTCGCCGGGGGGGGGGGGTCTTCCTCTGTCGTCCCGCACCGATAGTTAGCCCGTGGCGTGAGTTTGCATAGTCTCATCAAACATCCTCCGCCATACTTAATATAATGTAATATTAATGAAGGCCAAATTACAATAAATATGTTTCAAGCTTTTCCTCACAAATAAAACACCCACTAAAATAAATTAATTTATTAAAATAAATTTTAAAAAGCGTTGGTTTTGTGACATGACATTTTTCTATATTTAGAAGCAAGTTCTCCTCAACTTGAAGTAAAGAAAAAGATTTAGTTCCCTGGCAACGATATATCAATACACTAAATTCAAAGGCTTAATAATTATTGAATTTCAACTATTTTTGTATATTTAGTATCTAATAATATATAAATACCTCTTTTATTAACAAAAATAAAATGTTTAAGATCTAAATATACACATGACTAGTACCTACATTTGTAAAGCGGATTATCAAACGTGATGTGATAAATAAGTAATAAGGCTTAGGCTTCGTGAACAATATTCAAACTCAATAAATTATAAATTCTATTAAAAACCTGAAATTTTACACACAAAAAAGGAATTAAAAACAACCCCTACCATGTCCCGGGCAGCAGGAACATTGATAACAACCAACAATGCTACTTATATACCTCCTCGTTTTATGCCAGGGTAAGTAAAATATTAATATTTAATTATTATTAATTATAATTAATAATAATTAAATATTAATAAAATAACTCATGTTTGCTAAAATTAGGAAGAAAACGTTAAAAATTTATGAAATAATGTGTTAAATCGATCCCTATGCCTAACCCGAACCCTAAATTACTAAACCAATCCCTAATCTATGCCTAATCCGAACCCTAAGTCACTAAATCTATCCCTATGCCTAACCCGAACCCTAAATTACTAAACCAATCCCTAATCTATGCCTAATCCGAACCCTAAGTCACTAAATCTATCCCTATGCCTAACCCGAACCCTAACTCACTAAATCTATCCCTATGCCTAACCCGAACCCTAAATCAAAATCGATCCCTAAATCGTACGCCTAAAGCCACTAGTAAAAACATGTGGAATTTACGTAATGTGGCAAGAAAACGATAAAAATTAACAAAAAAATGCCCAAAATAATTATAACATAAAGAAATGATGAAAATCCAACTTACAGTTTCATGAAATACACTTTTACATACTTTTTTTCAGGTTCCAACACAAATATAGCCACAAAATGAATAAATCTCCACACTCCACAGGCTCCCCAAAGATATCAATGATGGTGCAACCAAATAAAAATGATAATGAGCCAACCAATCAAAATTTTAAAATTATAATTAATCAACCAATAAAATTTTAATTCCGAAAATGTAACTCTTTTAACAAAAAAATACAAAAAAATATGGGGAGTAAATCCAAAACAAAGTCGTCGTGGGCCGCTAAATCTGAAATAGCCTAGTATGCTGCAATAGGCCCTACTCTATTCACTCTATACTCTGCCAATTTTGGGTGACACCTTAATTTGTTGTGAATTTAATCAGATAATTTTTCTAAATTCCTATTCATATTTTTCCTATAATAATGCCCTATACTAATTGTTTTCCGTCCGTCAAAATCAACTAGGACCATCGAGTCATCCGGTTAGGGGGGAGGGTGGGTTACGGTGAGCTCATAGGTGGCTTGCTAGGCCAATCCGTGCTTGGAATAATCTCTGGCACCGCGGGCAGGGGATAGTTGCTGCAGATGGTGATCTAATGTTGCTCTTTCGGGCCAGCCTGCATGTCTCAGCTGTGGTTATCCTACTGGCTTCATGGGATTTAGCCCCCTTTTAACAGCTGCTCTCCACATGGCTCTGTCCTGGGGTGTCTGCACCCATTGAGTAGGGTTGATGCTGAAGGCCTTTAGTGCCGCTTTCAGTGAGTCTTTGTAACGTTTTGTTTTACCTCCTTGGGAGTGCTTGCCTATCGTGAGTTCTCCGAAGAATATCTGTATTGGGAGCCGGTTTTCTTCCATACGAGCTACGTGTCCCATTCAACGGAGCTGAGACTGCATCAGGGTGGTGAAGATACTAGTTAGGTTCGCTCTAGCGAGGACCTCTGTGTCAGGAACTTTGTCTTGCCAAGTGATGCCGAGGAGTTTCCTGAGGCAGGTTGTGTGAAAATGGATCAGTTTCTTGGCATGACGCTGGTAGACTGTTCATGTTTCACATCCGTAGAGCGATGTTGAGAGGACTGCTGCGCTATAGACATTGATCTTCATTTCTCGTCTGATACTTCTCCTGTCCCAAACAGTGCTGCGGAGCCTGCCAAATATGGCACTAGTTTACGCAAGTCTGGCATTCATTTCATCTTCCATGGCCACAGATCTGGAGAGGGTGCTGCCAAAGTACGTAAATTTATTCACCGAATCAAGATATGTCTGCTGATGATGATGTTGGGTTCAATGATGGCCTTCCTAGGAGCTGGCTGATACATCACCTCAGTCTTCTTTGTGTTGATTGTGAGGCCAAAGTTATTACAGGCCTCAGAAAAGATGTCAACACTGTGTTGCATGGCGGCTTCTGAGGCAGCGTTAAGGGCACATTCGTCCGCAAACAGACTATCATTGATGGTGTTATGTTTGACCTTGGTCTTAGCTTGAAGTCTCCTAATCTTGAAGACTGATCCATCGGTGCGAAACCAGATTGGCAAGCCCATGGTGGGGTCCTTGAATACTAATACTATACTTGACAAAGGCAAAGTACCCAACCTTTCAGAAATTTGACTTTCAAAATTAATATAAAGTAGGCTATAAGTTATAAGTAAGATTTTAAAACTTTTCTTTTCTTTTAAACCTTCTCCTTTATTTTTTGAAAAAGTCTTGATTTAAATTTAAGTGGTCTACTTTCAATGGCAATGAGAATTATGAATTTACACCTTTTGGGGGATACTCACTAATAAAGTAATGTTAAACTTTAAAAGAGGAAATTAAAGTTAAAGCAATTAACTGAAGTGGAATGAACTAAAGTGCCACAGTGACCAGCAACTTTTCTCTTTTCAAAAATGCATCCAAGTTGACATTACTTATTCCACATGATAGAGTCAGGAGTTCCTTTTTGTAATTGCTGGACATACATAAACACTGTTGTTGATTCTTTAACATGTCAAAACATACAGTTTTGAGAATTCTGGTACTGGTTTAGGTATATGAGTATATGGGATAAAATGATTTTGTAAAAAACTTATTACCTTTTTTCCCATGTAAAAAATAACTCATATAATATAATTATAATTAAATGTGATATTTTCCCCTAGATATCGTGGGTACTGTCCTACAATAAAATATGATTATGGAGAGACGTATGGAAACCATACAGCAAAATATTTTCAGGACTACCGTTCATCCGTCTTAAATAGTTCAGCAGAACCATATTGCAAAGGAGGGTCTTTTCCCACAGTCTATTCCCACAACCCAGACTTGGTGATAGGCAACAGAACAAGAACACAAGATCGCTGGCTCTTGGCTCCAAAGTATCAGTTGTCTAATGTGGATCATGATCGGAAAGAGGAACTCTATCAGTTTAACAGGGTATATTGTCATTTAAATATGTACACTTAATAAAACTATAATAATAATAAATACAAAGTGATAAAACTATAGAGAATAGATGTAATTTTATTTTAATCTCATTTTATTTATGGCGTAACTATTAATCCTGTGTGTGTGTGACGCAGTGATGATAGTTATCTTGATCTAAATTATTAAATCAACTGTTACTCCTACTTCTGCACATTGAAATGTCAAGTCCTAATTTACATACAATGCACTTTATTTCCATGAAACACAATAAATAATCCTTTGAATGACATGATATGCAGCTCCAAAATATATAGGATCTATTCTTAGGCATTGATTATGCTTCTACTTTGGTCTAAGACAGCGGTTCTCAACCTGTGGGTCGCGACCCCTTTGGGGGTCGCACGACCCTTTCCCAGAGGTCGCCTAAGACCATCTGAAAACACATACTCTACAGTTATAAAGTATCAACGAAAGTAATTTTGTGGTTGGGGGGGTCGCCACAACATGAGGAAATGTATTAAAAGGTCATGACATTAGAAAGGTTGAGAACCACTGGTCTAAGATGTCTGCTCAACTCTCTCACTTCAATCTCATGAATTATACTCCCACCAGTTTTTTTGTTGAAAAAATTTTTTCCATTTACTTTACATATATGCCTACATTACTAAAAATATTTTTTTAATAACCAGTATGGTATTTAATTTTAATCATTTTTTATTCAAACCTTGTATTGCTTGTAAATCAATTTTTTTTAAACTTGTCCATTTTATTGTTGCTCAGACAAGCATATTTCTAAAAAGGGAAGTAATTTGTCCATAAAATTTTATAAATTATTAATGATTTAGTTCAAATATATAAAAACTAAAATCCATTTCCTCAGATATATATTGTGTTTAAATGACCTTATTTTTGAAGAGATTTCCTAATGCTTATATTACTTGACTATAAATGCTAACAAATTAATTAATCAAAAAACTTTAATAGTACATAGCCAAATGAGATTTATTCTTGTTATTATGTTCGCCTGATAGAAGAAAAGAAGAAACTATGGATTTATGAAAAAATTTTCATCATCATGGTGTGTTCAAAATGTTAAAACAAATATATTATTTAATTGTTACTTCCCTAATTTTCACTTGTTCTTTTTTTCAGCTTGCTCAGTCACATCGTGAACATTACATAGACAAAAGTGGAACAGTAAAGCCAGTGGATTACTTTAGTATCCCAACCACCGGAGAAGAGCAATTTAAGAGATATTTTCCTTTGTAAGTTGCATGCTTTGAGGTACCATTGTGTGGAGTTTTTTTTATTTTGCCACTCCATATTTCTGCATATGTAGATCCCGTTTCTGTTAGCAAAGTGAAAATTTGAAAATTTATAGATATAATTATTATATTTAAAATTATTATATTTAAAATTATTATATGCTAAGTCTAAATCATGTTTTATATTACCATAACATGAAAAAGTTAAATCAAGAATTTACACTGTCGTAACGGTACACCAATATCAAAAATTTAAATATTTTTTGCTAAATTTGTTAATTAATATCTAATGACCTTTTAAAGAAGTTTATTTTTAATGTAATTTTACAGTGCTGAATACACTTTTAAAATTTTAGAATTAATGTTGTAACATCATACATTAGTAACTATACATTTACTCAGTAGGTTTTATTGGGTTCATATATAAAATCAGTAATTATCATCAATATGTTATGTTATGTAAATGCATATTTTATGATAATTTTTTTTTAAAACAGCTTGTTATTACTACTAAAATGTTTGCAGTTAACAACTTTAAATCATTTATGAAAGCCTAGCATAACTTAATTAATTTTGAGCACAGGAGTGTTGTTTTTATTGTGAGATTTTTCTTTCAATACCGGTAATTGTCTTTTCCCCAAATATAACTTATTTAATACAGAGCAGATTGATTCTTTAAATCTTAACCAATCTGATAAAATGAAAATGATATGTACATTCTATTTCATTTGCCTAAGCCTATTCACAATTTAAAAAAAACAACTCATAGTCTGTAAAGTTTCTTATGTGGATATAAAATAATATTTATTTTTCTGTCATTGCACTCATAAGTCCAGAAAAAATATTAAAATGAAGAGTGCAGACAAAATTTAATCAGATTAATACAATATTTTGTTTTGAAAAAAAGAGAAGAAAATACCAGTATATTTAATTTTAGTTGGTACTGCATAAATACCGGTAACCTTGAACAGTAGTTGTGTCAAGAATCATTTGAATTTTTTTCATAAGCTTGCAGTGAATAACAATTTAAAGTTTGACTTAGATGTACACAGAACAAGGCTAAATAATTGGTGTTTTGATTCTGATTTGAGATGCTGTTTTTTTTTTTTCCAGAATCTTTGTAATCTGAAATACTATGAAGCTTTTGAAGTTATTTAAACTAAAATGCACATATATTTTGTACGGTACCGGTATTGTGAAATGTCACATCTGCTTGTATTGCCAGTATTGGTCATCATTTTATAAATAATTTAAAAAATAAATTTGAGTGCTAACAAGTTTAGTTGTTTTGCTTTCAATAATTTGGTGTTGCACAGCTTTGCAAGTTTCAGAATAACTTTTTGAATAATCAAGGTTTAAGACACCATTACCAAGCTTTTGTGACTAAATTTTATCTGCCATCCCAATAAAGGTAAGTTAATTTTCTGTACATTAATTGTTAAAAGAAAAAAAGTGGATTTTTTATATTTCTAATCCTATTCCTAGTCGAATATACTGGTACCAGTAATCGGTAGCGTGGCTAGGAATAGTGTCACCAGTGAGGTAAAATTATGGTGTCACCCCCCACCCCCAGACTTCCACTATGGATTTTTTCGTGTTAAATTAAGTCCACAATACAATGACATGAACAAAAACAAATAAATTGAATTGTAATTAAGAACTGTAACATCGTTAAGTTATAATTATTTTTACATTAAGTCTACTTAATTTTAAGTTTTCATTTCCCTGTCGTCAATGCTGCAAACCTGTCAATCACTTGATCAAAATCAATAACTTTTTTTGCATCACTTTCAATTGATAGTAGATCCCTACCATTGTGGATCATAAAGAGTTCTTGATAAGCCTTAGTTTTCAAAATCTCAGCTCACATAAAGCCACAGACACACAGATTGTAAGAAACAAGTAAAGACTTAGCGAGAGCATTGCAAGAGATTCTAGGAAGTCTCATTCAGCTATGAATTTTAAAACATCAAATACTTACCTGTCCATGACTTTGTGAAATTCAATATCAGCTGCCTTTAGGTGTCGTCTAAGTCTTGGTATTTCTTTTAGAAGTTCATCTTCTGATAATTCATCATAGAAAGAGATTAATTTTGCTGATAATAGACCCATGGGTTGAACAGAACCAAACATATCTGCTACTTATTTGATCGCTGATGATCTGATCTGGAGTTCTGAATGAAAGCGATCAATAAATGCCAGCATCTCCCTACTGTTTTTTTCTTCAAGAGAGTCCAGCATCTATAAATTGTTCTTCTGCCATTTTCTTCTTAAATCTGAATTTTCTCTTCACCGAAATTCCACATTGGTCTGATTTTAAAAGTGCATATTCAATAGGCATGTTGCACCACAGGACAGCGATTCTCGTGCAGAAACAATCTTAAGGCTTCTAGGTTGGTCAGCACTGTACTAAGAGTATAGCCTTTAGTCTACAGATGCTGATGTGTAAGATTAACTTCCTCAAGAAGATCAGCCCAAAGGTAAAGGTAGAGGATAAACATATATCACAGACAGCATGTAAAAGACCTTAAGCTGTTCATCTTGTATCCAAATTTTCAAGAGGCCCACATAGAGCTTCAATTGCCACCACACATTCAACAAACTTATCTTTCACTGTTTTAATAGCAGCATTATGAGCACTCAAACATGTTATTGACAGTCTTTTCACCGACATTCCAGTGTGTTAAATAAAACATCCCATTAATGAATGGATGCGGCGAAGAAGGAAAATATTCTCTTAACAGTACCGAAAAATGTAATACATGAAGCATTTTCAGCAAAAGAGTGTTGACCACAAATCAATTAAAAATGGCTTTCTTATTTATTCTTTTCAGAAGGGCCTGAAAATCTCCATAGATTCCAGACATTGTGACATTATCGTAACATTGAACTCTGTATATCATCATGTCTAGTCCATCACGTTTTAGATTTGTAAGAATGTCAGAACTGAGGTCATCAGCGTTTTACCCTCTAAAAGGGAACAATTCAAAAAACAGTTCTCTCACTATAACTTTCCCATTATGGATTTTCACATATCTGATCGGGGCACACCTCTTTTAGATTTTGCATTTACCCCTGTCACTACGATGAATGGCCCGTCCTTGTTCTGAAATAAAGCACTCTCTATTTTAATCATTTCAGACCTAAAATGATCTGGAACTGATACATTCCAGAGATAATAATTGATGGACATTCCAGAGAGAAGCATCTGATAAAATATTCCAGTTTTTCTCATTAACCATCATATTTACAATATCTTGGTTTGAATAGACATTATCAGCACCCATGTCTGCACTATTTGCTGTTCTATATTACGCATGCTGCTCGTATCAAAGGAATCAGTAACAATGGTAGGCCAAAGAAGGTCTTTTTATGAACCATGGTCATCATTTGGTTTCTTGACATTTCAAAGCATGGATCTTGGTAGTGATTTTACCGAGTCACATCTTTCCTTTTTTTGCTTTTCGTTGCTGGCAGCCACTTGGCTGTTTAGGCATCATAAAATAATCATGAACAATATCAATACTTCAATTGTGTCTTTTCAAAACAATAAACCAAATAATTACTTATTACTAAAGTTCAAAAACAACAGTCAGAGCCCTGTCCAAAATACAATGCACAAAGGTGACAGGTAAAACATGGGGGTAAATATCATAGAGCAAGACCTTAGTATAGTAGTATGACAACAGAAATTAATTGAGTACAAACAGCTACCTGCATATGAATAGGATTTTATTTGTTTGCTCCTTGCATCCGTGGTAAACTTGTAAGAAATGACTATTATTTAATATATACTATATCTTGTAAACCTAAGAGAGATTATATTTAAAACATTTTTTTTAATGTATGGATATTATATTAAGATATTTTAAAACGTATCCAATCTGTGTTATACAACTTTTTAAAAAATAGAATAATAAAGGAATAGAAATATTTCAAATGTTTTTTAGTTCCTAAATTGTATTGGTTATTCTAATTCTATGTATGGCTGTCACATTTGCCCTTCAACCAAAGCGGTTGCAAGGGGCCTCACCATTTTGCCATGCTAGTTATTATAACTTGATGGCTTAATTTTTATTTTATTAAGTAGCAGTAGCTGTATTAAGTGTGATGGAAAAAAAATTAACATCTCTCACCATGTTATTAAACAATCACAATCCTTATACAATACCAGTACTTTATTTTCCTATTGAAGTGCATTAATCAACAACCATTGAATACATGCATTAAAGAACACAATCATTGGAGCCTTTAATTTTAATACTGAGATGTCAGTTACATTGATTTCAGCATCCCTGGGACTTCATATTACAGCGATGATGGAAATTTGTTTAATACAGAGACATCTAGTAGGAAAAGACCACTTGCCCAGCACCTCCCTCCTGTAATGTCATCTCAGAGGAATCGAGCGATGCGAAATGTTGTGTTTGAAAGGCGATGAGGCGTACAATTATTAGTTATTAAGGTCATATACAGGAAATACTATTGTGTGTACAATAATACTAAAAGAATTTTTTTATTTTTTTTTGTTGAATGGATAAAATATGAGATTTTTATTTATAAATTTGATAAAAGTAAAAGGTTTGAAATCATTTTCAAAAGTTTGTATAACTAAACACAGCTCAAATCAAGCACAAGGTATTTTATAAGTACAAAGTTTCACTAATTGCAAAATGTGTGGACTTAATTTTATTTTTTAATAACATTTACAATAATATAATAGTTAATGTTCATTTCCTAACTTTTATTGGTTATGAACCTTTTTTAATTTTAGAAATACTTAATTAGCATTAATTGTAATTAAGGGCTTTAAAGAAACATTTTATTTGAATAAATTGAATCTCATGTCATGAAAACTTCTGAGCTGGAACTTTTATATCGGAAAAGCAATATCACCAAATAATTATTTAGTTTTAAATTTTACAAACACAACAAACCTTGTCAAAAAATATATTTTCGTTAATTGACCGAGCTAGTTTAGCAAACTAAATGTTGACTTTAAAAATCTTGATTCCAAAACATTGAATTTAAACTACATTTATTATTTATCGTAAATACCCAACTTTACTTTTAAGCTGTCTTTTACTTTTCATCTTTAAATATAATTTTTTACTCTTCTAACTTCTATTATTTTAAACATGTTCTGTTAATATTCCTACTTCAGGTAGGAGATTACACATTTTACCGCTAATATATCTAAGACAGATATTTTTTAAATTTATGTCACTGGACAACTATTTATTTGTTAAAATAAAACAATCAGAAATTAAGACTTGCACAGACTTTTTAAAAAGATTTATTGTCAAAACTTGTAAAACATTTTGTAGAGACTTTAACATACCCGGTACTTAAACACGTGGTAAGCATAAATTTACTTAATAATTAATACTTGAGGTGCTTAATATCTGTTGGTAACTGAAAGTCCATATCAAACACATAGCTGCCTGGGCTGGCCCTAGGAAATTCACTGCACCTTTCAATAACATACCTTGCCACCTCTGCCCCACACAAATAAAATTCAAGATTTTAAATGTATTATTTTTAACAATTGCTGCCCTTTCCAACGCTTTCCACCCCTTTAAAATCCACTTGGTGTATGCTCTGTAGAAAAAGCCTGATAACTGGTAGCTTTAGTTTTGTACAGTAAAATAAAGAGAGCAATGCATAACAAATGTAATAATTAAGTTCTATGCTGTTAAAAGTATAAGTAAACTGCCACCAGCAATTTAAAATTGAATAATATAAAGTTGCAATGCCAGTAAGAATAATAAATACATTCAATAGAATAAAAATTATGAAATGAACTAAGTACATTCAATTAATATTTATTTTAAGAGACGACATGTACCAAGAAAATTTTTAAATATCATTTTTAAATTTGAAGGAATAACTTTAAATTAAAATTTTAACCTGGAATATTTATGGCATTTTCAAAGCGACATTAAAAAAGTATATTTATACATATTTTTTATTCACCTTATCTGTTTTAAGTAGTTATAAAAGATACCCTTTTCCTAGTTTTAATCAACTTACAAAATCATTGCAATATATTTTCTTTTTCACAATACTCATGTTAGCTTCAACTTTTTATTTACACATCTACACATCTTCACTAATACTAATATCAGAAAATACATTGAGATTATCTTTTGTTATACTCTTCAACAAAGTCTTCCACGGGCAGGTGTCCATTCAAAACTGAATTTCTCAGGTCTTCTGAATGCTTTAATTTCAAAATCATGGTTCTAATTGTCCTTTTGTAGGAGTTGCTGATCAGTCTTTTATGTCGATGGAACGTTTCTCTTTCAATGGCTTCAACAAGTTCATGTCCTGCCTAAGAGTACAATTTTTTTAAATACACATTATTTTAAACATTTATCATTATGTTAATTTTACACATTATTTTAAACATTTATCATTATGTTAATTTTATATCAATGAAAATGTATTTTTATAAAAATTTATTGTTACCATTGTGTTTGTTTCTTGTATTTTTATTGTAGGGGTAAATAATACATGTCAATAGAATTTACCTCCACTCCAAGTGTTTCAGCCAACAATGTTTTGCCACGTAGTCTCCTGGTTTCAGTCTTTTTATCACACTTAACTTCAATTTGTGGCTTCTCTAAACAATCTTGAAAGAAACTCCGCCATTTTGTGAAAATCCGTTTAGCTTCAGTGGCTATCTCCTCATCTTCATGCCTTCTCAATTTTCTTACAGTGAAACCTAGTTACAAAAGAAAAACAAAGCTGAATATTCAATACAATTTTTTTGTGTGCATGAGATCTTATTCAAAGGGGAAAACGTACACGAAATGCTAGAATTACAATACAACTACAATGATTTCAATAAAACAGAAGAAGAAATTAAATGTGGTTATACTTAAATTATACTTTATATTTATATTCAAACAAAGAAATTTAAAATTATCTAATCTGTTTCCATACATCATAATATATTTATTAAAAGAAAACTATTTTACATACCAATTTTTGTTGATTGTAGCACATTCCGAGGTGGTATTTTTTTCCCTAGCTCTCTCAAAGACTCCAGTATAATTGGTTTGCTCTGGTTAGGTAATTTTAATTTTGACTTCAGTCTTTCTATGTCTTCTATGACAACAACTCTCTGCAACAAATCAAAAGCATTTTATTATCCATATTTGAACCAGCTATATTGTCAGAATACACGAGGCACCGATTAATTCATGAATATGTTACAATGTGTGGGTCACAAAAATTATTAAATAATAAAGAATTTTAATGGCTAATAATAGTTGTGAAAGGACAGCAAGAAACAGCACATTTTATGTACCAGAAAATGTTGACCACAAATATTTGAGCTCAAGTAATTGAAATCACATTGTACTGCAATTATCAGTGAATGCATCAACACTATTCAAATCCTCCAACATTGACTACTGTAAGCTTACCAGATTTTTCGGTGCCAAGTACGGATACAAAGTAAGCTAACCAGATTTTCTGGATGCCAAATACAGACCCAAAGGCTCACAGCAGCCAGAGGCAAAAAAACAACAAAAGGTGTTGCAAATGATTTTTAATATTCTCTATACCATTTTGTTACAAACTATTGAGAATATTTTGCAGTACTGCAAATAGCTTTTAACAAAATATGATTCTAAAGAATCATATCTTAAAATTGACGACACGTTAGTAATTTTTAAATCAATGTTACACCGAACAATCAAAATATATCTCAAAGTGGTTACTTTCAGCTGCGATTTATAAAGCGTCCAAACAATGTTTACCCGAGAGAAAGCTCGCTCTATAGGTGGTTATGGGCCAGAAAGGCTGAATGAAAATTTAAGCAGTAGTTGCAATTGTACAGAAATTATATCATTTGCTTTGAAATGTTCAAATATTTGCATTCATTTATTTGATCTACACAAATGTTTTGCGAGTTCCATTCTTCCGGCTTAACTGGTGAAAAAATTGTTTCACATAAGTTAACTTATCAAAGAAATTACTATTAACAATTTTCCCTGGGACGATTTTATTTACATGCGCAGATAGTCTCACGCATTTTTATGCAGGTGCAGCAGTAAGACTTAGGTTAACGAGAAATGTTCCACATCATTGCACTGAAACTATTCATTGCACTGACCTTTGCGGAGAAATAAGATGAAAAAAATTAAATGAAAATAAGGCAATTAAGTCGTCGCTGCCAAAAGTACGGACAAGCTGGATGACGAGTGGAAAGTATGGACAAATATAGATGCAAAATTTAGTACGGACAAGGGGTGGAGAATACAAATAAATACAGACGTCTGGTAGCCCTAACTACTGATGTCCTGAGAAGTTTTGGGAAAGAGCTATAATAATTAATCTTTAACTAAATCCTTGATATACCCACTGGAGGAGAGATTGTCAATGACAATTCACCTTCATATCTTGTATTATTATTCTACCCTGGTTGCAATGCCAGTCAAAATTTTATAGGTGTTTACTCTAGCAAGCCATGCCTCAACAAGTCCAATCTGTGCTGAAAATCAAAATTTATATAAAGTACTAACACCAGACTTTGGTGTAGAATGAACACTAACCTATAAGTCAAGTCCTACTTTAACAAAATAGGGCGGTAAGGAGGTCATGAATTTATGATGATGTACCATGAGGACGAAGGTCTCTAAATTTTGACACAAATGTGTGAAAATCTTCCAAAGAAGTGTAATGTTATATGTAGCCTGTATACTATAGTGGCTGCACTTCACAGTACTTCACTTGTATGTCTTACTGACTGTTAGGCTTGTTGTGTGATCCCAAACATTGCAGAATCTAATAGGATACCGGGTAACTATTATATTACTGTTTACTATACAATACTATACTTTACTATTATTTACTTAACTGGTATCTAAGACTAATAGGACAACTATTACTATTCTATACACTATTATTTACTATATTTAGATATAATAATTTTACATATTACTATTATGTTCTATAATAATAGTATAGACCAATGTTTCCCCCAAACTTTTTTGTGCCATCCCCACCTAAGCCTTTTCAATACCGGTATTCAAAAATTGAATTGTTAACTGAATGAAAACTAAATGATAGGTTTAAGAAAGAAGAAATTAAGGAAAGACAGCAAGTAAATTTTCAAAACATATAATGGAGCACTGAAATTCAAGTACAAAATGAAAGATTTTCCTAAAGTATTTTAATTATTTATTATTTCATTTATTCACTATTTAATCATTTTAAAATACAATGAGAGATCACAAATACAGCAGTGTGAGATCACAAAAACAGTAGAGATCATAAAAACAGTGTGACATCACACAGTATGAGTTCACAATACAAGGTGAGATCACAAATACAGTGTGAAATGACTAATGTAATGAGAAACTTGCGCTTGATGCTTGCTGAAAAGAGATTTTATGTTAGGCTCCAATTTAGATAGCTTCAGTCTCAAGTCTCCCCGCTGTGTTAATTCAGCATATTTTTTTTTAAAAGCAAATCACTTATGGCACTTCTACATTTAGCTAAATATGAAGATGGAAACTAACTGTAACAATAGCTGTCATGCACATTTATTGAATTTGGATATTTGATTTCTGTTTCCTTATTAAGCCATGCCTTTGCTCCTTTTATTTTATATTAAATTAAGTTTTAACAGACTCATCATTTTGCATTTCTGCCAGTTCTCCTTGATGCTGCATTATTGAAATTTCAGATACCGGTAAATCCACTAACATTGGCTGCATCATCCAAGTTGGAAAATCAATTTGTTTTTAATAAAAAATCTTTCTTCTAAATGAGCTAATAAATTTTTTAGATGATCCACACTAGCATTAGCAAGTATAGCGGTCACTTCACATTTTTTGAACCAATGAAACTTTTCACAATTTTTGTTACAAACATATTTCTGCCATAATGAAATAAATGTAATGAAACCAAATATCTTCGCTTTTGCATTGAAATGAGTTTTATTTCAAATGCGAGTACAAAAGCAAAAAGTGTACTGGTATCGACTTACAGCAATTGGAAATTAAAGGAACAATGCTCAAACTACTAGGAAACCTGGTAGCTTTAAATAGGAATTAAATCTGAACTTTCTTCTAGTAAAGAAACATCCAGATATTACTTCGGCGTCCCCCATTGGCATTCTGGAGAACAAATGGAAGAATGTATTTGAATGTAAACAAACTGTTGTCACCTGACAGGACATAGGAGGGTATCAGTTACACATTGACTTCGATTTCATTAAATTTCAAGGCCGTTCTACTAGCAGACAGTTGTGGTGGCTAAAAATAACTGTGTTGAAGTGAAAAATAAGCTATAAACTATACTAGTGCAGACAAGTGTTATACTATAAACTATAAATAGCTCTAACAGTGGCGTCTCTGGGGGGTGCCGACTGCACAAGGTGACACCATCTCAGGGAGTGACAAAAAATTGAAAGTTTGTATATTTACAGAGCACATATTTCTCAGTCTAACAGAATTTCACAAGAGGATAACCGAACACAACGTAACTTTTTTTACACTTGTAACCAATCCAAATGCGTGCTGTATTAAAAGTTCAAGGTTGATGTGTCAGAAACTAGGTGACCCTATGATTATGTCAGAAAAAACATAGTTTTGACCATTATTCAACACCGATTAAAGTGTTCGGTAGCTTTCGTAAGTGACACTCTTTTTGCTGAAAATGCTTCATGTATTACATTTTTCGGTATTATTAAGAGAATATTTTCTTTCTCTGCTGCATCCTCTTATCAATGGGATGTTCTAATTGAACACACTGGAATATCTGTGAAAAGACTGTCAACAACACGTTGGAGTGCTCATTATGCTGTTGGTAAACAGTGAAAGATAAGTTTGATAAATGTGTAGCGGTGATTGAAGCTATATGAATATGTGATCATCTTGAAAATTAGGATACAAGAGGTACAGCTAAAGGTCTTTTACATGCAGTCTGTGATTTCCCGTTTATCTGCTACCTTTACCTTTGGGCTTATCTACTTGAGGAAGTTTATCTTACACAGCAGTATCTGCAGACTAAAGACTTTACTCTTGACAAAGTGGTAACCAACCCAGAGGCCTTAAGACTCTATCTGCACGAAAAACGCAGTCACTTGGTGGAACATACTATTGAAAAGGCACTTTTAACATAAAACTAAACCCATTGTGGAATTTCGTTAGAGAGAAGATTAATGGTGAGAAGAGAATGGCAGAAGAACAATAATAAATGCTGGACTATCTCTGCAAGAAATTAAGTAGGTAAATGCTGGAGTGTATTGATCGCTTTCATTTTGAATTCCAGATCAGATATTCAGTGATCATTGAAGTAGGAGATATACTTACAATTAACCTTTTTCTATAATGAGTTACAAGAAGATGAACTTTTAAAAGAAGTACCAAGGCTTAGAAGACACTTAAAGTAAAGGCAGTTCATTTTTGAATGTCACAAAGTCATGGACAGGTCAGTATTTGATGTTTTAAAATTCATAGCTGAATGGGACTTCCTAGATCTCAGTTTCTGTGGCTTAGCGGAGCTTTTCAAAACTAAGGTTCATCAAGAACTATTTACTATCCACCATACGACAATCAAGGCTTTCTGATCTGGATCTACTATCAATTAAAAGTAATACTGTGAAGGATATTGATTTTGATCAAGTGTTTGACAGGATTGCAGCTTTGTAGACCACGAGAGGAAAATTACAAATTAAGTAAATTTAATGTAAAAATAACTATAACTTAATGTTGTTACCGTTCTTAAATACATTTACCTCCTGACATTAAAATAATGTTTTTTTCTTGTCATTGTTATATTGTGGACTTATTTTAACAAGAAAAAATCCATCATGAAAGTCATGGGGAGGGGGATGACACCATGAGTTTACCGCATTGGTGACATCAACCCTAGCTATGCCACTGAGTCACTGAGTAAGTGGATTAAAAATAAATCAAGCCCTACATTTTACTAGGCCTATGCTTGATATATAAATTGAAGAGATAGCACTCTGACTCTGAAGTCATTTGCCTGTTTTATCCCTGGTTCCGATAGGGTCAAAACCCTGGTTCTGATAGGGTCAAAACCCTGGTTCTGATAGGGTCAAAACCCTGGTTCTGATAGGGTCAAAACCCAGGTTAGGGATAAGTTTAGGGTTCAGGTTAGGTTTAGGGATAGATTTAGGGTACAGGTTAGGTTTAGGGATACATTTAGGACATAAGTTCGCGGGTCGCTTTAACTTTTTGCCCATGATTTATGATTATGATTATTTTAGTAACTTGAGACTAAGTATTCTCCTTTGAATTTTTATTTTAAAATACAAGTTAGATCATAGTCATAGTTTTCAAACTCTAGCCAGCTCATTTTCGAATTGCCCCGTGTGGGGCATGGAACCCACGTTGGGAAACACTGGTGGTGACTGGTATAGACTATTATTAGTCTAATAGTATAAATTATTACATAGCTATTTAAGTTATAGTTATAGTTAAATAGTTTGACATCAGATCATCATGACACATTTCATTAATATTAAAAACGTAGATGATAGATGATTTAAACATTTATAACAACAACCTTTAATGAATGTATTGTACTTTGTTTAAGCATCACTAATGATGGTGATCGAATTAATTCTTTCTCTGGCCTTTCTCGAGGAGTTCTTGTCAAATATCGATCCATTACAAATTACAGTGTACAATCCTAAGACTTTACCACTTAAGTTGTCCCTTGTCTAATGACTGGTATACTAAAATACGTTCTAGTATTGAAGAGTGTTTTTTTTAAATCATGCGGCTATTCGGACCCGGGTTCCTGTAGATAAAAAAAGCTATTCGGACCCGGAGTGGTTCCGTATAGATTAAATGGCTTTGGACCGGGGTGCAATAATAGTATGATCATTTTTTTTTTTTTTTTTTTCTTTGTTTCTTCATAGGTTCATTGTTTTTTTTTTTTTTTTTTTTTTTTTTTTTTTTTTGGTTAAGTTTTTTGTTTTTTTTTTTTTTTTTTTTTTTTTTTTTTTCTCATTGTTACTTCATAGGTTCATAGTTTTATTATTTTTCTTTTTTTTTCTTTTTGCTTTGTTAAAGTTCTTAGTAGTTTTTTTTTCTAATTTTCTTTAATTTTTAGCCGTGTTCATAGATCAAGTTTTTTATTTATATCTAGTAATCAAGATAAAAAGAGGTACATTTATTTTCATTAGAATTTTAGAAAAGTGATAATATTAATGCAATTATTAACATTAAATCCTTCATTAATATAGATTTATCTGTATTATTTAAGTTAAAAGTAAAAGATTTAATTATGCAGTACTTTAATGGAATAATTAGGTTTTCTAAATGAAAATTTCATTCAAAATGAATTAAATTCAACTATTCCTCTAAAACCTCACCTTTTCACTGGAATCGGTAGTAATACACCTGAACACCAAATGTTTTTTCTGATAACTCATTCGTAACTCAAACCTCCTCTCAATAATCTTTCTCATACTTGACTTAATTCACAAGATAGTTGGAATGAACATCTTGGAGGATGCAATTGCATAAAGCATGAGAAATAGACTTAGACTATTATTTTGAAGGGCTAGTCCTTTTTTTTTTTTTTTTCAACCATACCTGGCTACTTATTGGTGTAAAACACAAGCACATGTTTAAAAATTTAATAATAGAAAAAAAAAATTAAGTGAAAGTGGCTTGTAAACATTTGAGTTTGTGTACCAGTAATCCATAAAATAAATTAGGGGCCAGTATTCCAGTATGGAGTAGGCAAACAATAAGAGTAATAGATTTCATTTTAAATTGTTTAAATTGCTAAAAAAAAATATTTAAAAACTTCTCATGAAACTACTGTGCAAATGAACATGATAATATAAATATAATATAAAATATTTTTAATTAAAATGGGGGAAAAAATCGATACCATACTGGGAATTGATATCAAAAAAATAATATTGCCAAGTGGCCACTCTACCACAAGACCACCCAACATCTTTTGCTCAATCATATCTTAAAACCAGGTCCATGGGACGTTTTTGCCGCGGTGTAACCGTCACATGATCAACGGAACATGGACCCAACGTGATCAGTCGGGTCCCAATAGTGATTTTTCCTAAAGAGACCCGGGTCCGAATAATCACATCGTTTTTAAAATATTAAGAGAAGTAGGGGAAAAGTAAAAAAATCAACTTACAGTACAGAGAGGATTTCGTTTTTTATGTGTAGATATTTTTTTTCTTCAAATATAATAGTAGCCCAAGTAGCCTACTAATAAATTTTGGATTTTTTTTTTTTTTAACCAAGTAAATTTATCCTTCAGGCCTAATTCATCGAAATCTTCTCTTCCTTGACAAAGATTTCAAAGAAGAATAGGATCCGTTAGTCTTCCACACTAATTTAAGGCTACGAACTACTTTTTTAAATTTCTAAACTAAATTTTTAAATGATAGTATTGACGATATCATCAATGACATTAATGGCTCAATGAAGTATTGAGTCAATGACATGCAATGGTAATAGATAGTATTGAAAGCTAGGCTAGCTTCTGACCTACTAATTATAATAGAACGTAAAATTTGAAAAATAGAGACTATAGATAACTTTTCAAGACTCAAACTTGTCAAGAAATTCTTAATTACTGTGACAATGAAATAGCTGGGGTTGTTGTCACCCGGTGCGGTAAACACATAGTGTCGCCCGCCGCCCCCCCCCTCCTCCCCAACTTCCAAGATGAATTTCTTCTTGATAAAATCAGTCAACATCATAACAATGACAAGAACAAAAAATAAATTAAGTGAGGGTCAGGATGTAAATGTATTTAAGATCTGTAACAACATTATGTTATAGTTATTTTTACAATTTACTTTAATTTATTAAAAACCCGCCTTTCCAGATCTTCAAAGCTGCAAACCTGTCAATCACTTGATCAAAATCAATATCCTTCATTGCATCACTTTTAATTGATAGTAGAGCCAGATCAGAAATGCTTAACTGTTCCATGGTGGATCGTAAATAGTTCTTGAAAGGCCTTAGTTTTGAAAAGCTCCGCTTACATGGAGCCAGACACACATCTTAAGAAACAGTTGAAGGCCTGCGAGAGTATTCGAAGAGATTATATGAAGTCCTATTTAGCTATGACTTTCAAATCATCAAATACTGACAAGTCCATGACTTTGTGAAATTTGGTGTCTTCTAAGCTTTGGTATTTCTTTTAGAAGTTCATCTTCTGATAACTCATCATAGAAAGATGTTAATTTTGGTACGGACACCAATAACACTTATTGACTTGCTGAAAGAAACTCTTGGGTTGAACACCCCCAAACATATCTGCTACTTCCTTGATCGCTGATAATCTGATCTGGTGTTCAGAATGAATTCGATTAATACACTCCAGCATCTCCCTGCTGTTTTTTTTTTCCCTGACAGTGAGAGTCCAGCACCTATTAATTGTTCTCCTGCCAATCAGTGTTTCTTTCAGACAATTTCCCGGGCCGGGAGGGGGGGGGGCATTTCAGATTTTTTCAGGGGGGGGGCAGTGCCAGTGGAAAAGAGGCGTAGCGGAGGTGGGATTAAGGGGCATATGTCCCGGGTGCCAGACTAGCGGGGGAAATTAATGGGCTTTCAATGTATTAATGGATGAAAATAATGGGTTTCAGAAAAAAAAAAAGGGGGGGGGGTAAAAATTCCCCATGGCTCCAAACACTAATGCCAGTGACACAGAAGGGGGGCAGTGTACATATCGTCCCCAAAGTTGGTTTTCAGGGCAAATAATACCGCCATTTTTATCGGGAAGTAGGGCAGAAATCGAGCATCCCGATGGCCATAAAAAATATTTAAAAATCAAGAGTTCCATTTTGGAGTAGATAGGATTGAAATGATTTGATAAGACTATTTGATCAGGGGAAATAATTTTTCAAGAGTCGGGGGTGGGGGGCATTATGGCCCAGTGCCAATACAACATCAACATACACTAACTATTTGTGGACTATAAAAGAGCTTATGATAGCGTAGAAAGGAAATACCAGTACGATGCTCTACAGCAACTTGGACTTAACCGGCTCATACATAATATAACGATGGCTAACTCCAAAAGTAGAATCAGAGTACATGGAGAGTACTCGAGGGCGTTTCACATTAATCAGGACCTCAGAACAAAAGATTCATGCATTCTTTTCAACATAACGTTAGAAAAAGACATTAGAAACATACATGTTAGCACCAGTGGAACTACTACAAACTAAATCCAGAGAGGTATTACAGAACAACAACCATCAGGAACTTTATAAACCCAGCCTATAACATATCAAGATCTATAATAATTGTACCTAGACCCACCCATAGTCACAACAATAAAAAAGGCAGACTGCAATGGAAAGGACACATTGAAAGGATGCCGTATTGTAGAGCAGCAAAATTGATATACATGCAGAAAGCTAGGATGGATTGACGATATAAAGAAGGACGTACATCAGCTGGTATTTTGCCGATGGGGGCAGAAAGACATGATTGATCCGAATGGAAGGATGTGGTGGTGCAGGCCTCAGCCCTCCATGAGACGTCACGCTACTGATGAAGACATTTCAGACTTTTAGATGGGAAGCGGTACAAATAGCCATAATAACAGGGACTTCTCTATCTCTTCCATCAGCCCAACATTAATAAAATCTAATCAAATTGGGGGCCCTTAAAGGTATTTTGTTGTTTGTTTGCTTTTGTTTGTTTTTTTGGCGATAGATCCCGCGTCTCACCCCTTACAGTCCCCTGAAAATTTTAGATAAAGTCAAAATGCAAGAATGCATTTTTTTTTTTATATAGTTAAATTTAGTTTTGCATCATTATACACTTACGTGGAGAGCAACGGGAGATATGCTAGTTAAGATTTTAGATTATGCATCTTCAGTCTGGGACCCATTTACCCAGAAGAGCATTAACAGGTTGGAGGCGGTCCAGCGACGGGCGGCTCGCTTTGTCTTGAACCGATACAGGAATACCTCTAGTGTTGGCAGTATGCTGGAAACACGAGGCTGGTCACCATTGGAGGAACGACGACGACAATCCAGGCTCTCCATGATGTACAAAATAAATAATGGGCTGGTCCACTGTTCCAGTGTTAAACAGAAACTCGTCCCTCTCCCCAATAGACAGCGACGTGGCCATGACAGGCAATTCCGGCTCATACCAGCAAGAAGCCAGTATAGTAACTGCTCATTCCTGCCCAAGACAATCAGAGACTGGAACAAGCTTTCAAAAGAGACAGTTGAGGCGACAACATTAGACACATTTGCGTCTATTGCCTCGAGCCTTCCAAACCCCATTGCATGATTCCTTCACAAAGTGGCATTTGTAATCATTGAAATATCCCCATCAGCACCAGGCACAGAAACATTGCAAATCCCCTCTACATGCATAGGAGCCAAAATGGTCAATAAATTGATCGTGGGCCCTTAATATATAGAAGAAGAAGAAGATGATACCTGATCTCAAAGCGAAGACCCTAGTGCTAAAAGTACTTAAGTCATATTTTTTTGAAAATCAAACGAAACGTTGACCTTTACTTATCCGGTTTAGCCCCATATATAGCATACATTTGGAGACGCTAAAATGTACCTAAGTCCCCTTTTTATACAAACCAAAAATAAGAATGATCAAATTTAATGGACAAAAAGTACTGAAGTCCTATGTTTCGGTGACACTAGTATTCGTCGAAGGCCCAGAAAAGAAAATGGCAAAGAACGAAGCAGCTTTTCATATTCAGTCACTGCACTGAACATC